AGGCTGTGGTTGGGGAGCTAGAGGGCTGAGTTTAAAACTTTTATCTCGCACGTACATAGAGAATATTCCCGCAAAGTTTCAGCCTTCTATGTTGCCTGGTTCGCAAAATCGTTTCCAACCAACATATTTCTTTGGAGGTCCCGTACGCGGGGTTTAGGCGCGTATGGGGAAAGATCTTAAAACGGGAGGATTACACACGGCATAGGAACATATATCCAAAGTTTCAGCCTCCCAGCCTTCCTGTTTGCTGAGATGAAAGTGGGTGGCAAAATGCACTCGCTTCCAAACACACACATCCACACACGGCAATATGCCTTTTTGCTGGCTGTAGCAGTGCTATAGCGCTACACAGTAAAAACGCAAAAAAATATATCTTCGGGCTCTTTCAAAAACAGCTTTTTCGCTATTTCACCTCCCCTCAATCAAGCGAATAAGGCACAAAGGCTTTTCTTATTTTCTATCGAGATCTGCACAGCTGAATATGGAAGTTCGATGTTTTCAGGATGCACTCATATGTGGAGCACACATGTAGCCTTTCTTATTTGTTTGCCACTCCTCCGCCAAGTGTATAATAGAGCTAGTTAACGCACCATGAAGCAAGTATATGCATAGTTAAATGCGTCATAACACAGAACTTCTGAGGTGAAGATTTCTCAGCTGTTTTGCCCCCTGGTTAAAATACGCTTCAATGCGCATCTCAGGTGCACGTCCAAGTTGCTATGCTCTCCCAGTATTAAGTTGACAGCGAATATGATATGAGGGTTTACACGGAGCTGGGCGTACCTGAAGATCTTTATTGCATTGTGAGTGGCTCTCTACATTTAGCGGAGAAACCAGGTACTATTGGGAAATGAATGAATGACTATAAAACCAGTCGCCGTAGGAGCACTTTCACATGCACCATCGCCATCAACGCCAGGACTGGCAGAAGAGCAGCAAAGGCCCCAAAAGTCAAAAAACTTTTTTTTCTTGAATTCCACTCGATTATTTGTTCGGTGACTTGCTATTCCTCCCGACATAGCTTGGATAGCCCGACAGTTACTGCGAATTAGCAATAACAGTTCGCAGAACCGCACGATCACATCGAACATAACGACTGCGCTCCCGCTGACTCACTGATAATTTAATCATCTCACCAATTCGGGGAATAGTGCAGCCAGTGCTCCGTGCTCATATTTAAAAGTTGTTGTTTTTGCATTCTCATTGAATTGCTCGAGGAGGACAGCACTGGAGCAGTCCCGTGCAGCTTGACTTACGATCAGCTTTCCATCGCTGTTCGCAACTGCGCCGCTTTCATTGTGATACTTTGTAGCTGACGTCCCTTCTCGCTGTGTTAATATTAGCCTACCGGCAATTACTCTGTAATGGCACCCATTTCACTACTAACTGAATGTTTAATGTACACACGCATAAACATACAATGACATTTTCGTAGTTATATTTTTTCTAGAATTATAAATTAGTCCGAACTTGCCTTCAGGTCTGGAAAAAAGAATGACCGAGAATCATACCCCAAGGTTTCAAATCTGTGTCTTTCTTGAGTTATGAAGTTTACGTAAATTTAACCTGCCACCAAAGGCCACTGGAGAGAAGAGTACCTGAGACATTTCTGACAGCACTGTCCACGACCAACTTTACATATAGTCGTGGTCAGTGTTGACAAAAATCTGATCCTATAGCTTCTGAAGTTCCAGAGATTGAAACCTGTGAGAAGTACAAAGGAGTATCACTCTTGCTGCGCAGTGCAAAGGCACTGCACAATACAGCTGAACTCAACAAGACACAGCTCAGTTCTACTCAATGTAGCGCAACACAGCACGATCCAAGCCAGCGCCTCTCAGCTCTGGAGCGCATTTTCGGATATTAAGGGATTACAACGCCTCATGCACATATTGTGCAAGGCAACTGCCAACTGAAAACAAACGCCGTAATTCTTGAGTGACTATTAAAAATTGGCATAGCTCGGATCGGTCGGATGGGAAGCGAGCTGCAATGACAGGATAGGAGAGGGAGAGGCCTACATGGATTTTTTATGCTTAGCATGGAACTTGATGCTGGACGGAAGTTAGCAGTCTTGGGTGCGATACCTAAGACCTCACTTGAACAAAAAGCCTGGTACTAGGATTGTCGCTCCTCGAACCCAAAAAACGCATTATTGAGCAGCAGAGTCAGACCGAATTTCAGTAGCTACCAATTATTGCCTTTTTCATCTTGTTTAATTTGAGATTACAATTTTCGTAAGGTCGTGATTATGATGGCAGTTTTTCTGGACACAAAACGTGTCACTGATTTCTTTTTTATCATCAGGTGCCTAGTTAATCTTCGTCACTATTTATATATAGATGTATTTAGCAATTGCATGCGACAAATTACAACAACCATTAAAATATTCAAAAACGATGCAGGTCGCAGACATACTGTTGCGTGTGACCACATCTTTTTGTCTTTCCGGTACAAATACAAGAGTTCGCTTTTTTACATTGAAATTTAAGGAATAAATGCATGTCTGCTTAATTTTGTAAAATGTTCAGCTCAGAAAAGTGTATTATTTAATGAACCGGAAAATCGATTCAGTTCAAATGCGTTTGACACTTATGGAGAAAAAAACAGAAATATTTGTTGATCTGCAAGTCGTTTGACCAGTTTTTACAAATGTTTCTTTTTAAAAGGGCGTAGAAATAGTAACCTACGCTTATTGGTTAGTGTAATAGTAATCGAGATTATTAGGACTTCTCAAAGCTCACATTTTGGCCTGAACAACTCATCAAATGAATAAAGGCGCTACCTTTCGTTTGGATCACCGGAGAGTTTGACAAGTGTAGCGCGAAAAAATGCTTCCACCACTCGTGGCAGTGTGGTGTCAGAATCTGGCTCACCGATTGCGCAAACCCTAAATAATCACGGATTCAAACCAATGGTTTGAGTTACGTGAAATTTATCACTTTGAATTCTGGGAAATAATGAAGTTTCCGGGAATTATTAATTTTTAGCAAATTATCAACTTTTTTTAACAATTGTTACGAGAAAACCCTTAGTTTCAGGCTGCATTGAGGCCATCTCTCAGCTTCAAAGCTGCTTTTTTGAACCAACCAACTGAAATACTAAAAATTTATTTGGTGTTTTTTGCAAAATCCGCTATAATAATTCGTAGCAACAGTACCACGGCTGTCCGAACAGTCGAAGTGAAGATCATATATTACTGCGAATATTTGGACGCTTTCCCGAAAGTGCTCCAAGTGATCTAATCAATTCATCTAATATCAACAAGAAAACAGGTTAGCTTCTAGTACAAAAATCGTCAAGATTACAAGTGCAGTACACTTATTCTGCTAGTGATGCGACGGATTTTCATTAAGACAGCTCTTTGCGTCCATAGCACTGGTACTGTAGCCTACCGTATTCTCATTGTTGGATGTGATGTGCGGCATTTGACAACATTCCGTGCACGATGTATCAGAGGAGCGAGATCAAGCTCTACGCCAGCAAGATTGAAGCTTTCAGCTGTATCAGTGCCTTTGTCTTGCAAAATTTTGGGCCACTCAATTATAATAGACCTGGAAAATAGCGTTATCTAATTTATAACATGATCTGGATAATTTGCCAGAGAAACTTGATGAGATGTTGAACAAATTAAACCAAATGGAATAAATAGCCAACGCACGGGCTGCCCGTGCGAAGATCCTTTTTTGCATAGTTCCCCGCAGTTTTTGTCGCTCGCTACCGGCATCGGTTTTTTCGGCAAATTCTTCTAGCTAAACAAATTAAGACTGGCCACCAAAACTGGCAGGGAACATCCCCTTAAAATTTCAGTTTTCTAGTTTTCCTGGCTCCTGAGTTAGCAGCATACTGGAAAAAAACTTTCATGGGCCCACACGCGGGTACCACGCATACCCGATTTCTGGGTTTGAACTCGTTAAGAATTATTTGGACAGGGAACATCTTCTTAAAACTACAGTCTTTTGGCTTTTCGGGTTCACAAGTTATGAACTTAACCGAGGAAAACTTTGATGAGACCGTAAGTAGGCACCACGCTTATCCGGGGGCTGGGTTTGAGCTCATTGCTACCTATTTGGACGGGGAACGTCACCCCAAAATTTCAGCTGCCTAGCTTTTCTGGTTCGCTAGTTATCAACTTACCCGAGAAGAATTCCGGCGAGCTCTTACGTGGGTACCACATGGGTAAAACCGCCCATTTTGGTGATGGGGGCCAGCACGTGCATGTAGATTACATCCCCAAGTTTCGGCCCTGTAGCCTTTGCCGGTCTCGAGATGAAAAATCGGTACAGAGTCCCTGCGCACACACAGACACAGACACACACACACACAGACAACCTCTCGTCAATATGCGTTTTCCGCATTGCATAGCTGCAAAAAACGCATAATAAAATGATTGATATTATATTCAACCTACAGCAAAAAAGATAAAGCTGCCTGACTCTTGAGACAGAAAAAGCGTGACAGCAGCTTTCATGCATGCTACAGTTATAAAATCTCAGCTTTGCTATGTTCCTGAATGCCGAAAGAGTAGGTTGACGGCACTGCTGCTGTGAGCGGAATAAATGTGTGAGCAGAAGTCTATTCTAAGCTTGCTAGCACCACATGAACAATAGACATCCCTTGCTGTTCAGTTTGATTTCCGAGTTAATTAGGCGCCCGTAGTTTCCTAAACTAAGCATTCATTTGTGCGCGCGCTAGACCTAAACTGATTATTAAATGTTTAGGTCACACTTGAGAATAGAATAACTTAAAAAATTTCGGCTTCCCAGCTTGTCTCGCCCACGAAATCGTTTTTCATCACAAATATCTTTGATGTGTCCAAATTCGTGACGCAGACAAACGCCAAAGCTCAATTTATGCTTAGCTGCCTATATATGGACAATATTTTCTCTTAAAGCCAATGTGCTGTACTCAGTTTGGTTCCTTAGCGGCATTTTGCAAATGATGCTTTGATTTGAACTTTGAAGCATCAGTCCGACTGGCGTGGGCGTGTATGATAGATGAATCTGAAATCTTAAGCCAACGAAGATATAAACCATCACTGTGGAATTTTAGTTTCGTACCTTTTCTAGATTCTTAAATTTTTCTCCACCAAATTCTTTGCAGCATTCTTACTTGAAACTCAAACGTATTTGAAGGATAATTTCAAAACGGAGGGTCGCACGTAAGGTGGAAACACGCTTCAAAAGTTTCAGGTTTCCAGCTTCTCTACTTCTTGAACTGAAAGTATACACACACAAATACAAACACTTGACCTTTTAAAATTATTTTACTCACCATTGCAGCAGCGCTATTGCGCTGCACAGAAAAAAACGCACAAAAGGAAGAAGACACATAAGATTCTTGTTTATTTTATTGGCATTTTAATTTTAAAGGCGTAATGATTCAATAAAACACTTTATTGAAAGCATATCTCCCAAAAAGGTAGTGCTGACACTTTAGGCTTAGTGATTTTTTCTTTAGTTCAGCTTAGCGGTCACTAATTAGCGTTAGCAGCATCATTTTGATTTTTTCGTCTTTTCCTTTCTCAGTTTTGTTGCCTACAGCGAGCAGGAAAAAACTAACTTGTCTTACACTGTTGGGATCGAGCTGCTACTTAAGAAATAAACAAAAAAATAACTTACTCTTGTATAATTTGCTCGGTTAAATCCATTTGAGCGTGATGGCGCTCTACGGGCAGTTTCGCTTTAGCTACAGTCTGATACAATTCAGCAAATCTAAATGCAAAAGTAAAGCTATCACAATTTTTTCCAGTATTCGGCTGCTCAGCTAAGCGGTAGTCAAGTAAGCTAGCATCAAAATTTCGAAGAATGAAAACGCACAAAAATTTAGTTGCGCTTGTCTCAACAATTGACAAGCATGGCCAATGCTTAGCAGCACTACTCTCTTTCTCGAGATTGAGCTCCTCCATTGTGGCAACCAGCCTCTCATTCGATTCGATGATAGGCTGATGCTGGTGCATACTAAGGAGTCAAAACCGCTACCTGTCTCTAAGCATGTCTTGCGAGGTAAAGCCTTTGACAGCCATGCCAACAGATGGTTGCTCATGATATTTTCTCCTATTGGAGTTATCCAAATGTCTCTGCCTTCCAAACAAAATGAATTAGGAAAGGATTTCGGCTTCCAGCTTAAGTAGATCTAATCATACTTTTGGCGCAATGTCAATTCCAACTTTGATATTTACGTAACTGAGAACTACGGGGGCGTGAAAGTTGGATTTAAATACTTTGGATCTGAAACAAGAAAAAAACATTTTCGCGAAGTTTCAGCCTTCTAGTGGTCTGCTCCTTGAAATCATTTTCTCGCCAAAAGAAATTTCTCGTACTCATGTTTAAGAACTAGGAAGACGGATTGCCCATTTTGCGCCCAGAGCCCATCCATAGCGGTGCACCAGGTTGCTAAAATTTAGCTCCATAGATAGAGTGGGGCTGGAGTTCGGAAAACAAAAACCGCAACAGATGTTACACATACAAACACATACACACACCAGCAAACACACACAGCCGCTCAACAAATATGCATTTTTGCATTGCATGGGTGCAAAAAAAAAACGCATAGAAATGAATCAAAAAACCATTTAACAGTAAGCCCATTCACATAAAAGCAGTGTTGAATGAAAAAGTAATGGACCTAGATGTATCCCTTCGAAAAACTACTGAAACGTTCCTGTACCACTTAAGAAGTAAGAAATCATTCGTCTCCTTCCACATACAACTTCAAGCCACGATGAATTCAGTTATAAGTCTTTAAAAAAGGATATTCATATAGTCTCTGCGTGCTTGCTGCTCCACGTCTAACGTGAGAGGGCATTTGACAAAAGAAGATCACGAGCATTTCAATTTGATAATGTCTATTTTGCCGCCAAGTCGTGCGATGACAATCAATCGTGCGACCCCTTTGCAGTTAATTAGCAAGTTATAAAAGGGTTCTAAATAAACTCATTTCACTGGCAGCATGATTCTAAAAAAAGCTTTAAATTTGTCCTTCACTTATTTCCCACCACTGCTGATCAGAAGAATGTGATCAGTACTGCCGAAGCTTAAGCTCATTCATTATCTGGATAAAGTGCGACAAAGAACAATGCTTACAGCAGATGTTATGCTTATCGTTGTGCAGCACTTTGCAGTCGGATTCTGATGCCAGACCGCAATATGTGATTTGAAAAATATGAGACGTTGGGTATAAGAAAACTGACTAATGGTCCGAAAAACTGCTGCCTTTGCACAAATACAGTGTTCTCAAGCTGCTGCACATAATGGAAGCTCATATAAATTATGTAAATATATGGAAACCCAGGCTGAAACGCACCAGGCGAGCCGGTGCGATCATGCGTTTTTGCACAATACTTGAATT